TATATGTATATGTGTGTGTGCGATTTGTTTTGATGAGCTGGTGGTTAGGGCAGGGCTATGTCCTGCCAGCTATTGTGGTTCCAACCCTTGTGGTATGTTTTAGGGTCTCTTAGAGTACAGGAGAGCTATGAGGATGGGTGCCCTGAGTATCTTTTCAGTCTTGCTGGAGGCAAGAAGTAGAACGGGAACTCTCATCTATCAACTGAATCAGTGAAGTGCCCAAAAAGGGTGAGAGTGAAAAGGATTCCAAACGATGCCTTTTTACTGTACAGTGTCTGGTACAAAAGTTCAGCTTTTGTCTCTCCCCTTCCCTGTATGTGAACCTGAAAACAACTAGTTGCGTACTTACAAAAGACTTTTTCTCACGTTGCCTGCTAGATATCAGTTCTTGTCTGAAGCTGGGATGCGGGTATCATCTGTTAATTCTGACTAGCCTAGATCAACACTCACTTCTCAGGTTTTTGCTCGAATGGCAGACCCGCAGTCAGCTCCCACTGAAAAACAGCTTGGACCAGCATCATCTTAGCTGCCCTCCTGCCTCTTCTCTGTGTCTGAGAATTTCTGTTGTAAAACACTGACCATGACGAGATGGTACCTTCCCTTTTGGTGATTTTTTTTTTAATGCACTTTGCCTGTATTTTGTCTAGAGCAGGGAAAGGTATGAGGCTTAAAGTCTGGAGGGGAGGGACTATTCGCTGGCAACTGTCGTGTTTCAGTGACTGTGAAGGCACCGAGGAGTGGGGGGAGAGGAAGGAGGAACTTGAGATTCAAAGGTTCTGATACGTTTGTACTGTAATTTCTGTTGAGTGTGAAAGAATGACCTTTTGCACCTGATACAACTTTGGCCCTTAGGAAATCCAAGTTTAAAAGAGGACTGTAAATTCTTGAGATGAAAAACGCAGTGCTGACATCTTAAGTTCTTTAACTTCATGTATGTTTGATTCATGTAACTCAGATTTTAATGTGCTTGAATATAGTAAAAACGACACTATGGTAATAAATGGGTCATTAAAAATTTTTTAAAAGCCCCCTTTCCCCTAAAGGTCGGTATTCTTGTGTTTACATATGAAGATCATTTGCACCTTTACAAGGAAAACAAGTATTCTGTAAACAAATGTTTACATGTATCATTTATGCTTTTTTCTAGCATGAGTAACTTGTATAAATAGTACTATCTTAATAAATTTCTTCTATGCTCTTCTTTGTTTGTTCCTTTGGGTGGAAGCAGTGGACCATGCTTTGGTATAGTGTGGGTGCACACAGATGTTGGGGGTTTTTTTCAGATAGCAATCCAAGTTAAACTGGCGTAAAACTCTGCCATTGAGCATCACCTTCCATCGCTTGGATGTGCATCCTTCAGAACCAGCTTTTTCTAGAAGAAAGCATCTGCACTACCTGGCTACATCTAGCTCTGTTATTTAGCTGCAGTTATGAATGAGGGCTATACCCCGATTTGCAGATAAGCGTGTAAAAAAGAGAAAAAAAAACATTTATTCCAGCAATACCTTACAGCAAGGCTGTAGTAGATACCACATGGAGGTAGCAAAGCGTTGCTCTTGAAAACTGGGTATGGCTGTAGTTCATACACAGCCCCCCTGGAGTTTCACGTGCTGTTCATCTGTGGTCTTAAGGCAAGGAAGGGGTTAAAAGAGGTTCCATAGAATTTATTTTTTTTTAAGAAATTATTTATGTAAATTTATTAGAGCCGGGCATAAGATTTAAAACTAAGCCACAGTGTAACAGTCCTGTTTTCAAATCAAATACAGGTGCCAGTTATGTCAGACCTCCTACGCCTGGCTTTACCCACTGTTCCTCTCACTTGAGATAGCAGACTTTGTCTAGGATGTTTCGTAAAAGAAATTAAAGCACCAGAAGTGATAGTTTAAATAGCTGCTGAGCTGTCAGGAGCTTCTGAGGATACTTAGCTGCTTCTACCAGGGTAAGAGTTACTGCTTTGCAGACTGCAACGCACAAAAATAATCCGTCTTCAGCTAGTAAACAAAAATTGGAAACATGTGCATGTTTCTTTTGGATAATTCTGAGGATGGATTATTAAAAGCAGATTAGGAACTAGGCATGTAATTATCTTAGGCAGTTACATGTCTGTGTGGCTAGTTCATCTCAGTGTTGCTGGGGAGAAGCACGAAGAATGTTTTTAGTGACAGCTGACAAATCCTAAAAGTAGGTGGTTTGGTGAAGAAGGGAAAACCTGCTGAGGAGGAAGGTCACCGCACAAACTCATCAGACCTTAGAGATATGCTGCACACGTGTGGAGCCATTACAAGTGAATTGTGTAGGAAACTAGGCTTTAAGTCTTGCTGCTCGTGGGATTATCTAATAGGTAACAATTAATAGTTTAGTCCAATAAGCTATAGTTGGAAGTATATGTTTAATCAGGCATAGGTAGTCTTTACTTGGCTCAAGGCCAGTCAGTTGGCAAAAGATGGCAAGTATTGTCTTTATTTAGTACTGTAATACCAAAAAAAAAATTGTTATCACTTAGCATGCACTTACTCTACTTCCTTTCTGCTCATTTAAGCTACAGCCAGGCACTGTACACGAGCTCCCTGAACTCCTACCTGCATCAGAAGGCAGAGATCTAATATAACATTTTAGCACCCACAGCTCCAACCCAAGAGCTCTGGGGCCTACAAGATTACATCCAAGACAAATATCAGGCAAAGCATAGTAAATATCTAGCTTATACACAGACCTTTCCAATATATTAAGTTGTCAGAGACAAGCTGGATGTACAAGGCAGCTGTCAGTCCTGTTTGCCTTAGCCCAGCTGGGCTCCAGATGACCACTTTACAATGGTTACCAACTGGCCTTAGCAAGCTAGAAAGGAAGTCAGAAACCTGTATTTTCCTGCCCTGGGCTGTAAAGCACACAGACTTTGTCAGGTACGCTTGACTTTTGCATTTAGAGTGGCCTGAGAGCAGTCACATTTTAGCTAAGACTAATAAGGTCTGTATAGCTTGGTCCATATACTTAAGTAAAAACGGACTTGCTATTTGAAACAATGGAAACACCCATCAGTAAGCTGAATCCAAGAATTTGCACGGTTTAGCTCCTAGCCCCCGGCCAATACATACACGTAAATGAACAGTGTCTATGATAAAAACAAAGGTGCTTAAGAAGCTACGGTAAGTTTGTACTGTTGCCCTTTTTAGGGCAGAGTCTGCTTGTCTCTGCTGTGCATGACATCGGATTACAGCTAGTTAGAGTCAAGTGCAGGGGTTAAAGAGTCCAACTTCAGGCAGCCAGCATGAAAGGAAAGAATAAGTTGCAAGAGTGAGTTTCCAGTCAGTATCTCAGCATACATCTTCCAACAGTAAGGTTTTTTTACTGTGAAGATTTGCAGAAGTGGCTCTCACTGTATCTGAGAGATTGCTAGTTCTGTCAGTAGCATCAGCACTCCTGTTAGGTTTTGGCTTTGTAGAATCTGCAAGGAAGAAAAAGAAAACATGTCAAAACAAATACAGCGGTTGCCAAATTTTCACACCCTTAAGTGGATGAAAACCAGCTACAAGTGTACCATGTTGTTTGCAAGGGACCTTTGTTACTACTTTGACTCCCAAGTGTTTTGGTTTTTGACTTTCTTTTTTAAGGTGTTTGATTAAGTTTGGGATTTCTTAAGCCCAAATTTTGGCCACCAGGCAAAGAAATTTTCCTATTTGTAGCACAGTTAATACACCTATTTCTAGTGCAAGACTAGGGTTAGTAGTAGCTTCTGCTTCCATACAGTAGTAAAATAACATACTGAGAGATGCCCCAACTCCAGAACTAGTTTTATGACTAATAAAAGCTGAGGGCTTAACAACTTTGTGTAAGAAGTTATGCATAAGTAAGAAATCTTAATTTCTAGAAATAAGGCATTAGGTAGCACAACATGCTACTTAAAATCTCACCTTTATAATCCCATCACAGTGTGCTGAGGCAATTGCTGTAGAAACTTTGACCAGTTTTGTAGCTGACAAGTGGATCTTGAAGTGTCTGTGGAAGTGTGAGTAAAGGCAGTCCATAAAGATATCCACCTCCTCTTGAGTGATCTCTCCTGGAGTTTTTTGGACCGTGTCCCACAAAGCTTTTGCATCCTCTGCATGAATGGCATATGAAATATCCAGGGGGTGGGGCAGATTGGGGACAGAGAAAACTAGTTCTGTGGCAGATGTGGTTTTATCCACTTTGCATCCGCTCCACATAGCTGCCATCCAACTGAGATTGAGAGGGCTGATGGCTAAACGGCGGAAATTGCAGTCGAAAGTCTTCTGAAACCAACTTCCCACAATGGATGTGTAACTCTCCGCCCCATTAGTAAGAAACAGAGGGAAACAAGTGAAGTTCTCTGGCATGTTCTTGGACAGATCCTCTCCGAACACAGAGCAGAGGCAGCCCGACCATATCAGTTTCTCATCCGAGTTGTTCATGGAAGCCGATGACCTTGAAGAAAGCTGGGATGGGGAAAAGAAGCCTTTGAATGCTACAGAGCAAGTTTGACTTCTTTTAAGACAGGAATTTTTTTTGTTGCTCTTATGGAACTTATACATAAAATTTGCACTGCAGTTAGGGTTAAGGTTTTCAGAACCACTGTGCTACCAGCTCCAAGGATAACTGGGATGCAGAAGGCGTCTAAAGGAGAGCATGGCACTACACCAGCACTGGCTCCTGGAGAAGTTCCTAATCTAGGCCACCCCCAGGACCCCAGGGTCATTAGCCTCTATGTAAAATTTGCCACTAAAATTAGGGTTAAGGTTTTAAAACCCTTAAAGTATTTGCTTTAAGTTTTTTTCCGAGGACCTTGCATGCAGCGTTCTTTTCTGTAAGGCTCATATGGTTACTCAGTCCGTCCCTAAAAGGTGCGTGCAATTCTGTTGAAAATGGCAGGAAAAGCACTTTCTACTTCATTAGGACCGGTCCCGAGATCGGAGTTTGTGCTGCTTAATTCTGAAAAGCCAATCCATTGTACATCCTAAAACCACTGCCATGCTGATGGCTTGGTACCATCTGTGACTTGAGGCAAAGCGTTTAAAAAATATTTATTAGTCTTCAGCTAAGCTACATAACCTGAGTTTCTGCAGTAAATTGACTGGCAAAAAAACTAGATAAAGATTGCTCCCTGAATACTCTGATCTTATCAAAGAGTTGAACTCAAAGTTGCAATGAAACATAATGATTGCTTGGGGCTGATAACACCAAGGTCGTGGGTTCGATCCCCATTTGTTCCCCATGTGTTGCCTGATCTAGTTGAGAGGTGTCCCTGCCCGTGACAGGGAGGTTGGATTAAATGATCTCTAAGGTCCCTCCCAACCTAGGCCAGTTTATGATTCTATGATCAGGCGTTCTGTTCCAGTTAAAACCAGACAGTTTCATTACGATTCAATAGATAACTGTAGTAGGAATTCCATACAGCTAGGGTTTCGTAGCTCGCTTTTCTGTTAGGAGGCGGCATTTTACAACGGCAAAAGCGCTACGTAAAAGGCAAGTCTTGACTGCAGTTACCAAAACTGCCGAGAAGACTCCTTACCTGCACAAGGATCGCAGCCTGGTCCTGGTCGCTGCCTTTCAGGTCGGGAAGGCTGGAGACGGCCACTTTGAAGTCCAGCTCAGCCCCGATTTCCACCGCCAGCCCCTTCTTCTTCTCGGCCGCGATGGAGGCGCTCAGCAGCCTCGCGTAGTCCCTCAGGCGAGCGCCCGAGAACCCGTACAGAGGGGTCACGCTGTACAAGGTCCACTGCTTGCGCAGGAGGAACGCTGTTTTCTGGGGATCGGTGTTTTCCTGGAGGGAAAAAAGGTCAAAACGCTAAGGAAATGCTATTAAGTCCCAACAGCGCCGGAGCGAGGGCGCCTGAGGGGGCAAGTAGGCCCTGCCGCCCGCCCCACCTGGGAGCGCGGCGCTGGCGGGA